TATTTCTGGTGCTTTTTATTAGATCGAATGCATTGGCACGGACTGTCTTGAATGTTAGATGCTTTTAATATCGAATTCCTTACAGTTTGATTGCGGATTATGTCAGGTATATTATAGACAATCACGTTATTACGAGGGATTATTCGCCTGGTAGCTTCATTAAGGATAAAGTCGATAACAGATTCTGCTTTTATGATGTCATCAACTTCCGCAGGAACGATATTGTATATTATTAAGTTCACTGTGTTTATTGGACTAATTTGTTTCACTCAGATTGAAGACTTGTCTTTTCGGACATTTAGTTTGTCTTCGTTCTTGGTTTGGTTGTTTAGAGTTTTCCTCCGGCAACATACAAAATTGAAGGTTTGTTTCTATAATTGTTAGAATTATTGTTAGAACGACTTTTAGATCGACTGTTTGTAAATTGCAAATAAATTTTCTTACCTTAACTGGCGTTTAGTTGTACTGTTGACTTGAGTTCGTAAGTTTCAAATGGATCGATGTACCGTACTTCAATAACGGCAACGATCGAATACCTGAACGTGACATCCACCACAAAATTTATCAATCGAAAATCTGTGGAAATGAAGTTTGTTTGATATTTTTCCATTTGACCTGCAATCAAATGCCCATTGGGATGGGAAACAGCTGAACAAAGTAGAAGGAAAATGGTACGCTGATGATTACGGATGCTCACTACAGAGTTTGCAAATGCCAACATGACATAGAGGACCAATGGATGAAGCTTCAAAGGACACTCGCGTCATAACATTTAAAAATCTTGACAAAAGGCATGGAGATATCATGCAAACGGCACAGAGAACAAAGAAGAAACACCTTAAAGAAAAATCTAATCAAGATCTCAAAACCACCCATGGAAGCAAGCACAAACAACCGCGTGATCAATCTGTCAAAACAACCACTAACACATATGGAATAACACTCATTCCAAAAGGGATTAAACTACAATACAAGCGACGCTTCAAAACTGAAATTCTTTGCAGCACTAGAGTCATCACTCAAAACTTCCGGAATCAGTGAAGAAGCATAACAAGAAATAAGACAAACTTTAGTACCGTTTACTCAACAGGTGAAGGAAAACAACCAACTGACTCCACAAGAACAAATGGCTTGGAAGGAACTCAGAAATAGAAAGGATGTTTTTATAATACCAGCGGACAAAGGACGCACCACAACAGTCATGCACAAAGAAGAATACGTCGAAAAGCCGAAGAACTACTTGAAGATAAGAGCACATACAAACTGATGGATACAAATCCCGTCAAAACATTAGACAAACAGATCTCAAAGACTTTGATTTCAACAACAAAATCTACGAACAAACGAAAGGGACACCAATGGGATCACCAATATCAGGACTGATCGCAGAGGCAGTGATGCAAAGACTAGAAGCCGCGATATTACCAGTGATCAAGCCAAAATTTGAATTCGTTATGTAGACGACACTTTCGTCATCGTTCAAAAGAATGAGCTGGAAAACACTTACAAACTGATCAACAACATTTTCGATGACATCAAGTTCACGATGGAACAGGAGTCGAACAACAAACTGTCATTCTTGGATATATTGATCTCTGGGACAGACACAGGAAAACTGGAAACTCAGGTATATAGGAAACCGACCAATACAGATCAAATCCCCAACTACGATTGCAACAACCCAAGAACTCACAAGATCATCTGCGTACACACTTTCTTCAAGAGGGCGAGGACACACTGCAGCGCACTGGCAGCACGCAAAAAAGAAGAGAAGTGCCTGAAGGACGTACATCAACAGAACGGCTACCCAAACAAACTCATCAAAAAATACCAACCGCACGCAGCATCAGAACCCAAGTCAAGCAGAGAAATCGACAAAAGTATCACCCTACCATACACACAAGAAATATCAGAAACCGCAACAAGAATGACGGTTGTCTCCACTCGTGTTTTTGTTCAGTACAAAGGTGCAATAAACGAGTGTCCACTTGACCGAAATATAATAGACAAAATATAAACAAGTAACACATCGAACAATCGATGATCACCGTTATGAAACTGAAATCACACATCACCATTTCGTTCGCCATTTTCAAATAGCACGAAAATGATTAGAGATGTTTCAAGGATGTGCAGCTTTTAACTGACCATATCAATCTGCGAAGCTGTACAATCGTATGGATAGGTGATCCTTCAGGCATGCAGTGATCTGTGATAAAATGGAAGAGTTTTACAAAGTTATCAAATATAATCAGACTCAGTTGAGTTTAGATTGAGCAAATGGATACGATGTGGCATTTAGAATTCTACATGTAGTCGAAATAACTAATTGTTCTTACGTGAAAACGCGCATTGGATTAACAGAATTCAAGTAGATGTGATGCTCTTTGTAATATTCAAACGCATAATCGTGACTGAATCGTCAATCCACATTTCTTATCCTAAACAAATATTTTTGAGGATGTAGGTAGAACATCTATATTTTATACATAGAACGTTGATGATTTAGTTTAGTAAATGTGAACGATTACTGTTAATAAGTTAATTTGTTTGAATGCCATTGTCCGGAAATGTTTGTCGGTTTATGTTCAGAACATCATCTTTTGAGGGTTCAGCACATGTTCGTCTGACTCTTCTTGATGTAGAATTGAATGAAGTCCTCTCTCTACTCAGTTCACTCACTGATACAATGACAGTGTAATCCGGTTAATGTTTATGATTTATGACAATTGTCATTTACCTATATTCTCGTTGAAATGAGCTACTGGACTTCTGTTTTGTGTATCAGTACGATAGAGTATATCCACCGACATTGTCACACTACTTCTTTGTTTGAACATGTGTAGGTGTAATCGCACGTTGGGTCAGCTCAAATTCTTCAACTTCTAAACGTTTTCCATGGTTCACTTCCATGCTAAATGAACTGACCACAAATATTTGTATATATTGGTTAAAAATAAATGATACTGTAGTGGACACAGTTCTCCATTGGCGAACTTGGAAGGATATTTATAAGAGTATGAAGTGATTCGGTGTGAAGTGTCAAGTTGCAAACATTGAAATGATCAAACGAATGAAGCGCATGAGATGCATGTTGGAAGAATTGAATAAAGACCGTGTAGTCAATAGTAATGTGACTAGGATGTTCGCGGTCAGTTGTTTAGTAGCAACAACAATGTGACTCGAAAAGTGTGCATAAATTGGTCCTACGTCCATCTTGATTAAAGTTTGTTCGATTGGAATAACCTGTGACAAGACAAAATCACTACTCAACGGTTTTCCCATACTTCACTTCTCTGAACAATGCCTGCTCAATAGCATGTGATTTGTGAAGACGTTTTTGAATTGTCTAACATATCTCTCCTACATCACAAGCTACTGTGTGTGAGTGAAAAATTCAACTGAATGTTAGGCCACAAGCAGACTGATCTGTCAACAAATCAATCAAGTGACATTCAAACGAATATTTGGGTTTGAATAGAACAACAAGAACAAACCTAGGTTAGTGCTGGCAGAAATAATAATGATACACATGATGATAGCAGTAATAATGAAAGACTTTACAAGCATATTCGAAAGGTTGAATACTCACGTGCTGAATAGTGGGAACGTTTTCAATTCTTTTAATTTACGAAATCCAATTTCAATAAAAAACGACAGACATATCATGGACGTTTAATTTCCTGAATAATTTGATCCACTCCATTCGACTGTTCAATATTAATAAATATTCAATACAAGCACAGACCTAATCAGCAGTAAAGTATATCCATCCACAACGTCGGGTAATGATGACTTTCTCTATCATAGTCTCATATGTAGTGACACGAAAGTAAGAATTGTGTGACAGGCATTTATGTGTGAGTTATTCACAGCAAGGCAATATCGACAACCAAATATCTATAGATAGATGGAAATGCTTTTACCGATCTTGTGTCAGTTGTTTGGATGACTACATTTGATTCAACGTTCTCTGTTTACTATTCATCTCGGTGTAATTTGAGACATCAACACAATGGCCGATATCAAGCAGGTGAGGGCTGTTCCGATGTCATAATATCGAGTGGTAAGCAGATGACTGGAAACCACGAAATGTTGTGAATTCAGGTTTTCTGACACATCTCTTGTTCTTGCTTTAGTAGAATTTACAAATGGAAAGAGTTGTATAATAACTATATGTATTGTCAACCTCGTTTCACAGTTGTTTTCCAGCAAATCTCTTATATGCAGTCTGTATTCGACAAAGAAATATCGTTTGGTTTACAGTTAAATGCATATGTCTAGTTTATTTGCATAGTTGAGTTAACGTGTAATAGCGATTGATATAACATCATACACAGAACGTGGTGTGGTTTTTGTCAACAAAACAAATGGATATAGTCTGGAAGTAAATTTACATGGAACGCATTCATTAATTGGATGTGAATGAATCAAAATTATTCTTGAGTGTTTCATAGTTTGATACGCTGAGGACAACAAAACTAGATGATTCTCTGAGAAGATGCTAACTAGAATAATTTAAAATTAGATGATAATAAGTGAGAGTGTTGATTCATTGTCAGAGCAAGTCGTTCCAGTTATTAACGGACAATCTATTTGCGTTTGCACCAATTTTTTTAAAGTGATCATTAAATATTGATCCACTGTCTCGAACCACGTCTGAACTCGACTTTTATTTTCAGCTTTCGCCACGTGATATTCATTCATTCATTTGTTCACTCGTCCGGTGTTTGACTTCAATTTTCAGAGCTTCGTGTTCCTCGGTCTGCCCTCTTTTCTCTTCTCATGATGATTTCTGATGTGAGTGCTGGCTCTATATCTACTTTGAAGAATCCCATAATAAATCGTTGCAGATACTTTCTAACCACACAATCAGGCGTAACTCGAGTATTGCATTCTGTGCATGAGTCGAGTTGTGATGGTCTTTAAAATCCAATTGATCATCAGAAGGAAGAGAACTGAAACGTTCTCGATGTACTAAATACATAAACTACGATTTTATGTTGACTGTAAGTGTTTCAATTGTTTACTATTATACTTTGCTATACTTCACTTTTGTGCTTTAAAATCCCGAATGATCTAATTTACGAAGATGAAATAAGTAAACTACAAATATGAAACGATTGAGGAACAATTTTGAATGTTTTAGTATTTGTCTGTTTAATGATGTGGTCACATTGCTAGATGATGTCAAAATCTCTTATGGATTTGTGTGAGTCAGTGAATGCTTACCATCACACTTGTTTTCCTACGCCTGTTGATCCTTGTGGAGCAGCACATTCCACACACCAGCACTCCCTATCCAACCATGTCCTGGACAATCCTTTCTAGCTATTTTCAGTTGTTATTCATCCATTTCATATCTGCTTCTATTTGCCGATGCAATGTATTCTGTTTGACCTTTCTCCATTCCTCTTCCATTCAAGATTACAGGATTTGGGTTAACTCGTGATGCAGTTTGATGTTCGTAATGTATATTCTATCCCTTTCAATAGTCTTTACCTAATTTGCTCTTCAACTGGAAGCTGCTGCTACACTGGTTGTCTACATCTGCATTTGTTCGTTGTACCATAAAGTTGTTTCATTTTTTTCTTCTGCAGCTGTCCTGCCGTCGTTGCTAGTACTTCCATGTTATTCCGTTTGTCGTTTTCAGTGCTCTTCCTCATATGCTTGTCTGCCTCTCTATACGCAGCTTGTGTTTCGACATTCTCTGCTATTATTTGGCTGTTTTCAATTGCTGTTTTTTTGTTCTTCGTTCTTTTACCTTGTCCAGTGATTCTATGAATATTCTTACCTCGTGATGATACTTCTTGCGGCGTGGAGCCTCCTGACACGTTGAACTTGATGGATATTCGATGCATTTCCAGTTAAACGTCATGGTAGATTCTTCTTCCTTCAGTCGATTCTGCAAGGCTTGAGATTTGTTGTTGAGAGCTATCTTCATTTCGTTGAGTTTGTTGGAATCTTGAAGGAAGACTGTGTTGACGTTTTGTAATTCTATGTCTCCAGTTGTCCGTTGTTTCTTTAGCTTCAGTTTTATCTTGATTACCTTCAAGTGATATCTGAAGCTATGTCAGCTCTTCTCATGGCTCTAACATCATCCATTGTCCTTCGAAATCCTTTATTGTTGCACAAATGAACTATCTGCTTCCATTTCGCGTGATCCAGTGAGATTCACGAGGCTTTGCTTCGGTTGTTAGACGCAGCAACGTTTTGATGACTTCTGAAAAAACGCTGTTGTTTTTACAACTCTATGTCATTCCTTTATTACAATCCTTGACAACTCAAACGACATCATGCAGTATATTCGGTTCAGTTTTCACGTGATTAATAATAACATATCTGTTTCTATTTTGATATGAATAGAATAGCTAAAGCTTTGATCAGTGGTTGGAATTTCAAAATATACGATGATGAAATCATGTGACAGAATGAACTTTAACATCCAATCAAAACAGTGTGTGATATTTTTATTTTTACCATTCAAATCAAAACAATGCCACATTGACAGCTGATTGACAGCTATCAATGCAACAACATATTTGTTCATGAACACATCAGCATACATTTTGAACTACAAGTTAACCAACCACTTCTTCTTAAACACGCTGACTCACATTCAAGAAAAGTTTCATCAAGAGAGGTCAATAATTTAAACCAATCGTGCATAAATTTTAGTTCATATTTTCAATTTCTACAAGAATATTGATTAGCGATGAGTTCATCTACCACCAAGATTGGTTATCAATGAACGACTGGTCTTATCAAAATTCATCTTCTCAATGGTCACTTTAAAACATCGAATCAGAACGAAACAACAAGACACTGGAGAAGTCTATATTAATCTGAGAAGTTCTTTTGAAATTTGATTTACCACTTTGAAAAGGAAGATGAAGTAAGTGTTGAAATACTATAAGCAACCACTGGTTTTATCATAAGCATTTAAATTCAATTCAATGAGATACTGTTGTTTTGTTCGTCTGAATCATTTTAGATGCACATTTTCATTCATTCTGTCGATAACACTTAGTTTGATCATCGCATTGCTTCACGAATTCTTCGAATGTCAAGATATTTATGAAGAAAGAGTTCCACTGGAAGAAGAGTTCGTAATTCATGAAAACGGTTCATATCGATATGTATGTAATCAGTCAGTTTGTAATACGCATACTCAGTCTTTTCGATTTGGTTATTTACAGAAAATTAGTCTTAATCAGTCACATCCGGTTGTGAATGGCAGTTTCCACAAAATCACTGGTACTCAAGTAAGTTCACTTCATGTTTTAGCGGAAGTGCATCATTTTAGAGTTTTACACCGAAATTCCCGTTCAAATATTTTGATACTGAAGTCAAAAATTTTGATTTTTACTCTACTGGTACGTCAACATTGTTTTCTGAACGTAAACATTTACTGATACCTTCTTCACATATCATTTCACGAATGGAAGTTAATTCAATTTCTTCAATGAATAAGTTTTGTGCTTTTTGTGACAAACGAAACTTTTTCAGATATCTTCTTTTGATCATCTTGTCAAAAATATTAAGCTTTACAGCAAACGATAAACAATTTATGCAGTTCATTATAGTTTTCAGTTGATTTTTAAATGTTTTTATTCATGTTTTCATCAAAGGTTTAGTGACTGTAATCAAAGAAAGGTACTTCGGATTGATTGTGGGTCACCAATCACGCGATTACAATTCTGAATATGAGGTTTTGGATAGCAGTGAGTTCTTGCATTATTCAGTTATTGTTTGTATCCCTTCTTTTTCTCACATTTTGTTTCATGTAAATGATTCAGTATTTCACTTGATTGATTTACGAAACTTAACCATTACACAGTGATTGTTCAATATGCATGGTTGTCGTACCACAACATTTGTGTCCAACATGTATTAATGAAAATGTTTGGTAAAACAGAGATTTACCCCGTAATTGACTGATTAGAAATGGTAAACCAATTATTGTTTTCGTCAAAGAGAAGATTACCTACTCTTTGGTCTATAAATACTACAATATAGAAGATGTTTCACTAACGCGATAGTTCTTTGTGGACTGAATGAATCAAACAGATCATATGCGCAATGATAAGCAATGTTGTGAGAGTAGTGAGTTTCGATTATTTAAGTCTACAAACTATTGAAGTATATTTGATCTAATACAATACCTTTCTGGCACTTACTTGATTGATGAAAGTTTAATGTCTCTGAGTTTCAGTCAGCTGGCCATGGACTATTAAACACTATCTTTGTAATCATATTTACATGGTTACGAACATCGAACTCAGGCACTTTGTGAATGAACGACTATGAACTGTTCATTGGTACACAATACTTTACTCAAAATATAACACATAGAATATCAAGTTTATATCATTGTTTTTGGTCAGTTATAAGAAATGATGATCAACAGAATCTCAACAAAATAATAATTTTGTATGCGTTGTGTCTGATAGAAATTAAATGTCTCTTACCCATGAAAAAGCTCCTAGAACAAATGTGACAGAAGCGAAATATTCTTCTTCATTGATTTAATTGAGACTTTCTTTGCATCATCGAAATGAATCGAATCTTTGAAGTTTTTTCAAATGAGATGAATAAGCATTTAAGTGTATCGGTTCATTTAAACCTCGGAGTGTAGATGATAACTTGTATGTGATGGTAGTCCGTGTCAAAACGTACATTTAGTGAGAGAGATATATTTGTTCACTATTCAGAAATCTAAAAGTTTTCGTTTTAATTTTCATTGTTTCAGAGGAATTACTTGCTGCTAAATGGTCTGTCAAAAGTGAAGAGGAGGATGGTACACGTAAGTGAACATTGAACGATCGTTTGATTATATATGAAATCCACACACTTCTATGCTCACTCATTTTGATTAGTGACAGTTTGTGTGACTCAAGTCATCAAAACAAACTGAAAACTAAAGGATTTTTCAACTTTACTGACCAATGAGATAAAAGATACATATGATATCTACTCACTGTTTGATGTCGTTCTTCTGAACAACATTAGCACACAAACTTTAAGTAGAAGCGAAGTGTTTGAATTTCTCCATATGCGTTTCACAGCTTCTTCCGTACAACTCGATGTTGATTGGTTCTTATTGACCTTAAACTTGCCATTGTGTACTTCTTTGTTCTGGTTGTGTCTCTCATTGGTTTGATTTTTGTTCCTAAATTTGTGCATAATTATCCCGACTGGCCGATAAATTGGATCGATTTCAATGTGCTTGTTGATTGCTGGTTGACCCAAGTGCTGTTATTATTTCAATCACATAACAACAGTAGTACAACTTCAGAAACTATACATATTACATTTGTTTCTTCAAAGATTAATGCTCATTTTATTCACATGATGTCTACTTGAATGCGCCTATAACAAATTCAACTGAAGAATACATTTCAGATAACACAGTAAACATCTACTGAAATCTGATTTCTTTAGAGATAGACACATACAGTTTTCACATCTAACATTAACTTGCTTATTATCTATTTCTGAATTTGTAAGTACTGATAGTCTTCTTATTGTAGAGGTTACGTCCAATATAACTTATCTAATATATCCAAATGGGAAGATATCTTTTTATTATGACAATGTGAGTTGTAGAATTGAATGAAAATATCATGTTGTTGCAAGTACTTTAGATGACTCTATTATTTTATTTGTATCAATAATGTTTAATGTAACAAGTTCCATTGAAAACGAGAGAAAGTGATCAAAAACACTTTCTTCAAGCACTTGTTAAAGACTGCAACTAATTGTTAGCGTGTTCGTTCTGAATAGTACCAGATAATGTATGTTGGAGTACTTTGCGGAAAAACTGTTATATTCTGTCAGCATTTATTTCATATTCTTACTATCGCTATCATAAAAATCGTTGTAGAATATTCTCATTACAACATCTTCGCAGTTATTCACAGTCACGTTTCGTCAATCTATAAAATATAAAGTGTTCATCAAAAGGGTGACTAGACTTGACTACTGTAGTGATTCAGAATATATATGTGGACTATTTGAAACATTGTTCTGAGGAAATAGAGACTAGCATTATGCTCAATGTTAGTCTGTAAATATGTCTTTGATTGAGATAATCGGAATGATGACACATTAGTACAATATTTAAATGGTTCTGATATAGGCGTTTGTAATCTGGCAGATCTTGAGACGAACGTCAAAAGTTCCTAATTTCAGGTTCCTAGAAAAATTGATGAAACAAAGTGGTTGTCGAAGATTGCCTATGTGAACAAGTCTAGAAACGGTAAGAATCTTTTTAACGAATGTTTTCAACAATTTGTTATACACACTATCTATATGTTGCCGAATATTGAGTATTCAAGGTCAAATAAACGTTTACAGTTAAAATTGGTTGATCAATATGTGATGATAGATGTTATATGTGTCAAGTCCTTATTAGTGCAGATCCATCACTATCGACCAAGTTGCGGTGTGGCCATCAGTCTAGGCGACTCGACACTATGTGCACTATGTCGAGATGACTTGGTGATTGTAGGTGTCCAACATGAGACCCCGGACCCGGGTCTCGTGGTCCGATTCTCAGTCGTAGCGTCTGTGATTATGAGATCGAATCTGTCAGAGAGCACCAGTTCCCTCAAGATTACAGGTAAACCTTGCTGACGAGTGTCAAGTAGCACGAAATTCGGGTCCAGGGTTTCTTGTTGACCACATTCAATCACCATCTCAAAAGTTTACACTTCTTGTCTTGTGATTGCAGTAGCGTACTAGATTATGAATGACGATGTAAATGAGTACTGAAATGTTAAGCAATGTTTGATAGGGGCTAGCAGTGAAATCCAGGACACACGTTTCGTTCAATTTGTGACTTGTCAGCTGAATGTACCTGCTTCTCAGATTTGATGTCCACTTTGTCAATATTGTGGCAATATGCACAGTATGCATATATGTCAGTAAGCGACTTATCAGTTGCAATCCTGAACATAAATTGTAAGATTCAAGTGGACAAAACCGTATAAGTTCCAATCCTAAAAGTTTTCAAATTTTGTGATTACGTCTAGCAAACAAAAGAAAACTCATATTAACCGAATAAGTTTTGTTCTTGGTGGAGAAGATTTGTAGCTCAGGTGTGTGATGATGTCGTTCAGAAGAACGATGAAAGCTCCACGACTAAACCATCCAGCTCAGAGAACAAAACTCCATCAAAACGTTTTGTTCTTCCTGAGAAATTTCATGGACAATGAATTTCATCATTGATATTGCTCACTGTCATTTAATCATATATTCCGAGTAAAACAACCGAGCTTTTTAAATGTATTTATCGCGAACGTGTGGAGGGCGATTCTTGAAATTACCACGATTATGGTTAACGGTTGACGGAACGAGACAGGTGTTTATGAATAACGACACATGGTACTACAGTGAGAACTCAACGTAAAATGAAAGTGTGTATTGTGTGAGATAGGAATAAACGAGTGGTACTTCGAACTGATATTTCCTTTGCAAAATGCTCAATCGTCATGCTTCACTGAAATATTCATGTGTTGTTCAGACAAGAAGCTAAGTTTCTAAACGAAAATCTAGTGTAGGCGGATAGGCGAGTACATTCTTTTACGATTGAATGTGAGAAAATGAACTTAATGTTTGGTCAAGTGGTATACATTTTTCGGACGAAATTTATTTTTGAGTCTTTGAACATTGAAGATAATTGACACTTTTGTGATGTTTGCTCAAACCCTCTCATTGGTGCCTCGGACTGCGATTCATCAGTCTCCTCCAGATAAATGTGCATCATGTGCTGACTATCTTGAGTTTGCGTAAATTCAGAAACATTGCAAGCAAAGATGGATGGTGGCTGGCATCGAAATCAATTGCATTCTTGATGATCAAACGAAGCGATTTGTTAAACAATACTGAAATAAATGAAAAAGTCGTCTCGTACCACAGGCCATTGTGGCTAAACTGAGTAGTTAAGTGTGTTACGGTACGTCGTTGAAAGCACAATTGGTGAGTACTCGTCTAAAGATAAATATCAAAATTGATGTTCAGATACGTGCAGATGACAAGTCTTCAATAAGACTAAACATGCGTCCTGATTACAATTCAAGCCACATTTCTCCTCTGGTCTTTAAAATACTGTGTTGCCTATTGTAATTTGCATTATGAAAACATGATTTCACATTTGAACGAGAGTTGTTGGAAGATGCCTGACTGATATCTTTGTGAAATAATTTGAGAATTGGTCGATATGATATCTTACTGACTGGTTGATCATTGATCGATTTTGAAAAATCATAGCGATTTAAACTGCGACTGTTTGAGATTTTACATCATCACCGCTGTATCGTTTATCAAAATTGTTTCTTAAGTTCTTATTTTGAAAGCTTTTCAAATAGTGCAAACAACCTGTAACAAATAAACATGGTAAAATTGTAAGTCTGTTTTTTTAACTTTTTTTACTCAACACATGAAAGATTATGAATTTGTTGTTCCTGTTGAATGGATAAAAAGTGGCGTGTTGCTGGAGTTTGAATACATCGGGAGTACGTTGAAACTTGTTTATTCAGCAATAATTATTTTCACACTTGAATACATCGCTTTTGTTTCATCAAACTGAAAATTTCATTTGTAACTGTATTCTACTATTAAATAACATGCAGTCATCTGTCTCAACGGACGTTACACTTACCGTTAATAAATACGTCAATTCATTGTTGAATCTTACAAATGATTGAGAGTCTATTTGGAACTAATATTGAAGTGTTTGATTCGATGAAATTCACTTAGAATCATAGTGATAAAATGAAAGAGGAGATTATATCACTATGAGAGAATCGTTCAATGTTCCAGTGACCAAAAGCTGTTACCATTATCATCAAAGAATGTTGTTCGATCCGAATAATCTGGAGCGTTAACTGACAACACACAGAGAAGAATGCGGTCACACACTTCCACATATTTCATCATCGTAGGTCGACTGAAAAATTTACAAGAAAAATGTCATTGATGAGTGGAAAAACAGTGACATCCTCCGTTTGTTGTTCCAATCGGGCAACGTCATTGAACATGAATCTTCAGTCTAAGAACAACTGAATTTGCGATGAATGAAATATTCAGTGATCTACCAAATCACCATTGTACAGTTGATTTCTCGTTTCATGTTTTCTTATTAACTTACCTTGTATTCGATAAACTGAAATGAAATCGCATTATTCTTTTCACAGCCTATTGTCCAAAATACAATTCGAGTGAGGCATGCAACAACGCGTCAACATTGAATACAACCTGTTTTTGGTGTGAAAGAAACAACACGTGCATGGTTATTACTGATAAGGATGCTCACAGCTTGAAAGTGAATGATAGTCACGTTGAGGTTAGTACTTTCAAACCGACCGAGAACCTCATGGAAACTACTGAACGGACTGATCAATATTCGGTGAGTATTTGCGTTTTCACAACTAATTCCAACTGTTTGTATTCTTCAGGATATGAATACCGCAAAAACAGAAGACAATAAACAGAACGGAACACTTCAATGCTTATATGTCTTGATAACTTTGGTCATCACCTTCTTTGTTTTATGCATCGGTTGTATTTTGGGGAGATGGTTGTATAAAAAAAGAGAAAGCAAGGAATGATTCTTAGTAAGGACTTGAAATGAGTCTCAGAAACATTCAATAACCCGTTTTTATTATTCTGAACGACTGTTTGTGTTCCTTATTTCAATAGGAAATCTATTATTTAATTATTCATTTTAATGTGTTTGACAATTTCATTATGTGACTATGTATATCCTTATTTTTGCTTACGTACTAAGTGATGTTATCTTGTTGACAAAATATCAAGCATTGTATGTAATGTTTGCCTGCTGGTTTTCATAAAATATAAACTGCGACTCTTCACCGGAGTTTCACAAAATTTTGTTTTCAAATTGGTATAATTGTGCATACGTTATATTGTGATAGCTGCAATCAACAACGAGTCCGCTGGGAATATCCAACTTGATGCCTTCTCATCACCGACGAACACTGTTTAAATGTATTCCGTCGCGACATCTTATCAGCATATAATAAGCACTCCCATCACTCGTTACGTGTGTAATCCCTGTTCAGTAACTACGAAGTGACAAACTATTGTTAACTTGATCTTATGAAGACAACTTCAGATAACTATAGTGATAAGTTGTCAATCCAGAAAGTATAAAGTTGGCAGTTTTATTCAAAGCTCAGTCATTAAAAAGGCGAAAAACCAAAATGCTAACTAACCTACGCATTCAAACACTCATGAAGGGAGGTATGTCTCACACCAACATTCATCACTGTACTCTGTACTGTGTAATTTTTTCCAGTTGCTATACATACATTTCATGTTAATTTCCAATTCCCATTGTAGTATTTCCTTTAGCATTTCTCATCTACGTTTCTCTTCATGAATACAAGTAAGCGCCCTTTTCGTGATGCTGTTTGTTGACTTCAGCAACACATTTCCTATTCCTAATTTACTCGCAATCTGGAAGCTGGTTTGTTCTCTCCCATATTAGGCGTTGCTAACAGTATCCGGCCAACAGACGTTCAGTATCTTTCGTTAACAGCTATTTATAAGTACTTGTACCTTCTTGATTATGGTTATTGTTGTCCTCCAAGTTTCAGCTCCGTACAGTGGAACAGTCTTGACGTTCGTATTGAAGATTTTGGCTTTGATATTGGCTAACAGTTGTTTTGGGTTCAATATGTTCTTCAAATGAAGGAACGCGTCACTTGATTCTCCAATCCTTGCCTTTTAGTCTGCATCTAAACATTCTTGTTCATCGATGATACTGCCCAGGTAAGTGAAGGATTCTTCATCTTCAAAAAGTTTACATAAAATGTGATTCGGTTTGCGTCCTCTGTGTTGAATTTCAGGAATTCGGTTTTCACTATTTGTAGGTTGTTGCCTACTGATGCAGAGATTGTTGCTACAGGAATTGATTACGTCTGCGTTTGTTCGTGTGTATGGGATAGGAGGGATAAGTCATCTGCGAAGTAAAATTCATCTAATTTGTTCAGAGCTGTCTATTGTATCAGATTTTTTTCCCTCAGACATCAAGGTCTTAATAATCAAGTCAAACATCAGAAGAAGGAGGAAAGCGGAAAGAACAAAGACTTGTCTGACATCAGTCCCTATATGGAAGGCATCTGTCAACAGTATAGAATGGCTCATGGCCAGATTTACTTTTCGGATTCATATC